CCCCTCCACCTTACTTGTCGTACCTCTCTGCCCCCGCCCCTCTCCGAGGTAATGGTGCTCATCCCGCAGACCCCAGCAACGCACATGCGCGAAAACTCCTCCTTATAAATCAGCTGACCGTGTGTGTGAGAGAGGGTGTGCGTGTGTGTGGTGTGTGTGTGCGTGTGAGTGAGAGTGAGGGTACGCGTGAGGTTGGTTCGAATATGGACACGATAAGAGCGCGATGCAAAATGGGAAAGAAAGAAGCAAAGAGCAAACCATCTTGTGACCACAGGCGAGTGGGTGAGTGAACCAGGGAATCGGCTGTGGCTCTAGAGCTGTTCAATAAAGGCTGGGCTAAATGATGAGTTTTATCCAGGTTCGGCGTTTGCAAACCAGAAATCAGGAATCAATCGATAGGGTATCCTGCAGCGGCCTACTCTACCTTGTTTCTGTCAAAAATATTCCAGGTGCGCAAATTTTGTTAGGGACCAGTGAACATTCGCCGAGCGGGCTTGAAGCGCGCGCGTAGGCCCACCTATACCTATTTGAGGAGCCGCCTAACGTGTTGCAGGACTTATTGCTGCAACGCGTATACCGGTTTGTTCCACACGTACGTACGAGCCATGCGTATGGTTGGTGCAGAGCCATGGCAAGGGGTGGGGGGGGGGGGGGGTCCACGCTCGTTCCCTAATATTTTTTTCTTTTCAAAACTCTTTTATTTTTACTGCGTTATAAAAGGGAAAAGCGCGTGCTTACTTAGACAACCTTTCTGTCTTGATTGCCTTGGAAAGAATTTACTTTTTTCGGTCTATTTGTACAACTACTAACAGCTCGGCCACCATGAAAAGTGCCAAAAGCTTTTCCCTGTGGCACGAGCTTCTCAAGGAAGTGCACCGAGTCGCGTGGTGCGTGAGAAGACTGTGCCTACGAGTGAACCGCGTGGATCTTGGTCCTTATCATATCGAGTGTTGTTGGACCGCTGCTGGTGCCATCTCGGCTGAGCGAGTCCCTGACCCATCCGGGCCACAGGTGCGGCCGCAGGTGGGCCACAGCGGTCCGCCTGGCCTCGCCAGAGAGCACCGGCGGACGCGCCGCGAGTTCGACTGCGATTCGGAATCCTTTCTCTGGGTGCCCCTGGTGCCCCGTAATGATGGAGGAATAACTGTGGCAATAATGGCGCTTCGGGTTACACCACTATGGCTCTCTCTCTCTCTCTCTCTCTCTCTCTCTCTCTCTCTCTCTCTCTCCCTCTCTCCCTCTCTCCCCGCCACTCTCTCTCTCTCTGCTTGACCGGCACGCACGCGGGTCCAGCCACGCCCCGGGCGGGGTCAGGGGGGAGGGGCGCAACCCCGCAGCAAGGCCGAGGTCACGAGGGGAAAGGGGGGTGGGGGTGGACGGACGCGAGTGTGGCACTCGCCAAGGTTGAGAGTTCGGATGCATATGTCCCATACCGCTTGTTTTTGTCACCTTATCACAGGGTGTCTGACTGTCTTTTGCTTCTTTGTTTCCCTTGGATTTGTTTCGATGCGGGGCACACTAAAGTTCCATACCCTTTGAATTTAAAGGGACAGTCTTGTTCCTAAACAGGGCATGGGCTGGATGTCCTAAAAAGTTCCGTTTCAGGAACCAAATTGTCCCTTTACATATAGAGTGTAGAGCCGCGGTAAAACACACAAACACGCACGCACACAAGCACACACACCACGAACCAGATTTTCAAATTAAATAACAGATGTAACAGTCATGACGGCAGCTCAGCCTTTTCTTGCAGGCGACACATCTAATCAATTCTGTCGTGGCCGGGGCCCCGGACTCGTTGGCTTCTGTTCCTGTTGCCCCCGGCCCGGCTCGGAGCCGTCGCTCTCCGTCTCCTCCTCGCCCTGCAACACGTTGCTCACCGGCTGGCTGCCCCCTCTGGGGCCATCCGATATGCTTATTAGTTTCTGCTCTCTGTCTCTCACACAAATATTTTTTTCCCCTCTCTGCCCTTCCTCTCTCCCTTCGCGATGTTGTTTCTTGTTTCTTTTTTCCCCCACCGTCTCGCCTGGACTGCTAGCGATGTGTCACACGGTTTGGTCCCTGCTAATTGGTGACTTTGGAAGGCCGTTGCAGCTGCGCCATCCTGTTGTGCTCGTGTGTGTATGTGTGTGTGTGTGTGTGTGCGTGTGTGTGTGTTTTCTGTGGAGGGGAGCAGAAGAGATCTGAGGGGGATCGGACACGGCTGATCCCGCCCGGGGGGCCCCGCGGCGCGGCCCGCGGCGGGTCAACATCCTAATCTAGTTCCACGCCCCGTCGCTCCGCGGAAAAAAATGTGGTGTGGTGTGGATTAACACGACCGTCCAGTCCTCGGGTGGGTCCTGGCCGTCCTGGCCTCGCCCGACCCCGCGGCCGTCCGGGGAACGTTTTCGCTGCCGGTGAAACCCTATCCAATCGAGTCAAAACTTCCTGTCGGCAAGTCGAGAATATTCAAAACGTTCCCCGCTATGGAGCGCCTCAGGCGGCTCAGCCAGTCGGGTCGGGGGCTCGCGGCTTAACACTTATCTTCTGTACCTGCTGTTTTCTTTCCGTCTTGTTGAAGAAAGGTGTACGTCTCTCATACGTAAATTAAAATTACACCAAAAATGCATGTCACCCTAATTTTTCTAGGACGGCTAAAACCCGAGGCTTCTCTTTCGGGCAAGCGCGGATACACGTCGCGTGAGATCTAGGCTTCCTCGGGAGGGAGCGGGCCGACCCGCCAGGCACCTGTGCGCGGTGGGCTGCCCACCCCGTCCCGCCAGGCGCTGAGAGGCCTGCCCCCCAAGCCCGAGCGCGCTGCACTGTTGGTGTGCCAGGCCGTTGTGGGCACAGCCCCCGCCCCGCCTCACCCCACCCCTCCCCAATCGCCCGCCCGGGTCCGGTCCTGGGGCGTGGTGCGCGGCGCGCGGCGCACACTCGTGTCGCCGGCCGATTTTCAGAATACAATACGATTTATTCGGATCATTATCAGCGGCGGGGCCGTTGGCCGTCGGCCCCGTGGTCGGCCGCAGCCGTCGGCCGTATAATCATGTCAGCGGTGCGATTGGCGGCGCGCCTTACGAGCCGGGCGTGGCGCGCCATTGGCCGGCGCCGTCACGTGACCTCTTCCCATTCATTGGCGCGCTGTCGGTGACGTCATCACGCGCGACACACACACGACCCTCAATGGACCCGCCGCAGCCTTCGCCTGGCCGCCCCTCCTGTCCGCTTCCTGTCACTAGCGCGCCAAACTCCTATTTTTTTCGTTTTTCAATATGATTTTATTTGAATTTTTCCATTTTTTGGTTTTGCTTTTTCTTGTTTCTTTTTTCGCTTTTTTTTTTGTATTTTTTTTTTGTGTGTGGCTGGGGATTTTTTTTCTCTCTCGTTGCTGTGTTGCAGTGTTGTGCCAACAGCAGAATATGCTTTACTAACTGTTTTTCGTTTGGTTTCCGCCTGTTTCAGGATCTTTTAGTCATCCTCTTCAAACTCTTCGACCAGGACCGCGATGAACTCCTGGGCCAGGAGGACTGGATCGAATTCCTCAAACAGCGCCTAACGTGAGTGCCTATCTGAGACCAATCAAATCTCCTCGGGGGTCGTGTGTTGCATCGTCCTGAGTCCTCTCAAAAGCTAAAAGTAACCAACAATTTGTCAGTTTCGCAATCTTCCATCTAAAAAGTTCGCTATTTACTAAGGTGTGTAATGCAAAGGATTTGCCCCGCAAATGCGAAAGCTGCTCCAAGCTTCGCATCGGTTCCAACGCTGTTCTGCTTTCAGAAAACAAAGAAGAAGAAGTAGAACAATAATTGCCAAAATAAAAAGAACACGTTCCGCTCGTCTCCCGGAGCGCTACCCGGCCCGCTCCGGCTGTTTGGCCGTCCGGGCGACGCTCCATAAAGAATCCCGCACCTGTAACGCACCTCGGGGAGGAGGGGAGTGGGGAGGCGCACGGTGACTGGGCCGTAATGAAGTCACTGCAATTCGGCAATTATTGATGTGGCTGGCTGGACCGTCCGGACTGTGAGGCTGGTCTCTTTCAAAGACAGTGTCCGCCAGCAGTGGCAAACAGGACAGGGAGCAGGACTCGCACCTAGTTTCAGGAAATTTAAACCTCAATGTTTTTGCTTCTTGTGATTATCAAGATTCGTTTTCTTAGGTCTTCCC